CCTGTAGATCTCACTCTCGCTCGTTATATTTATTCAACAGATTTCATCTACAATCACTGAATCTGATGTTAAAGTGCATGAAGCAGCATGCACGCTTAATGCGATGGTAAGAAATCAAAACGATGACTTCAGACCTGAGTCCATCTCTGGCACCAAGCCCTCGTCGACTGAATGCACGGTGGCATCATCATCATCATCTCAGCGAAACAACACACTACTGTCCCCCTGTCTGCACTGCCGTCACAATACAAACACACACACACACACACGCGCGAAAACGCTCAGAGGCTGGGTTTCCAATCCAACACTCGGGCAAAAATGTTTTTTTAAATCTGCTATAAAAGAAACAATCTTTTGAAATGTGGTTATCTGGAATGAGAGTCAGGCTTTTTAAGTGAGCAGATGGATAACCCTCCCCCAATGAAATGAACTTGTATTGGACAAGTCGTACGTGCTCATGTCCTTTTCATCGTCAGCTAATGTTTTAATCTGATGCAGAAAAATGCAATTCAAATTCTCACTAAACATCTACATCTAAATCCACAGTTATCACACTAAATATGCTTCCATGGACGACCAGACTGCTGTTGCCTGAGTGGTTTGCTAGGCAGACCTGTGCTGTAGTCTCATGGAAATATATGGAAATTTACTCCGACTGTGGTTGATGCATCTGCGGTTCAGCTCGCCTAACTACAAAGCATGTCGTCGTAATCTTGTGGCTTTGCATCCTGGTGCTGCTCCCTTCCTCTGCGTCCACCATCAGAGTAAAAAAACACAGACGTTAAACGCTCAGCTGAGAGTCACACAGCCTGTTTTTAGCTGCCTCTGGCCGGGACGACCTCTCATTACACTTCACAGAACAAAGGAGAACATGAAGAAGAAAAACAAAGAATGACAGAGAGGAGGGAGGAAAGCGAAAATGACAGACAGAGAGCGAGAGAGGGAGAGAAGTGAAGAATCCAGGAGGACTGTGTTTTTACTTGCCCTGAAAGAAACCTGCAGCTGAAGGAACAACCTGTCACTACTCCCTGCCCTGATCCTTCAGCGACGCTCAGTCCTTTATATCCTGAAATATGTAAAGTATAGGGACACACCAGGATGAATCATGAATTGATTTGTACTTTACGGCATCACCAAGTCAATTTCGATGTTCAGGGGGGTGCTGGTGAAGTTTTTAGTCCCTCTTCAGAAGATTTCTCCAGGCCCCCAAGCTAAGAAACCTGATCTTAATCCATGGACATGGTTCGGTATCTGAGTTATGAAGAAGTGGGTCAAAATCAAAAGGTCAACAGAAAGTGATCTCCGTTAAAGCTGAGAGGAAAGGCAGGTTAAAAACAAGTTGGCTGCTTAAATCAGATATCTTATTGAGATACATTTGACAAAAGGATGTCAGGATTTATCACGCCGAGTAGAGCGTGCAGGAGGACTAGCTGCAACTTATTTCTCACGTTTGCACAGCCTGTTCATGGGTTATATGTGGCACCTTTAGTCCACCTTCTTCTTCTGTATTTCAGTCATGCAAAAGCAAAACAGAGGGGCGAGCATCAGGGGTATTAACATAAACAATTTGACATTTGTAAAAAAAGGGGAAATCCAAAACAGCAGAACAATGATTTGACTTTTTAGGTCCCAGTTATGTGTGGGAACCAGACGTTTTGACATTCAACTGAAAAAGAAAGAAGAAGAAGAGTTGAAAGAGGAAAGATATGAGAAAGGAAGAGGAAGAAGGAGCAGTGTGCGGGGAAAAAAAACAAAGCCCCAGGAGATTCAAACCCTCTGAGAGAAGGACGAGATCAAGCACTTCATGACGGGCAGAAAAGAATTCTAAATATTGTTTAGGAATGATGCAATCAATGGTTCACTTTTGGAAAACTGTCAAGTGTTCAAAAGTCGTGCATTTGGTTGGCAACTTAACAAAACTGTGGGCAATGTTTACTGAGTTGTTGTTACCATCTGTGCAAGGACAAAAAGTTAAAAAGGAGTAAGGGGCGCCGGTAGCCAAGCGGTTAGTGGCCTGGTTCCAAATATGACCTGTGGATCCTTTCCCCTCTCTCTCTCTCTCTCTCTCTCTCTCTCTCTCTCTCTCTCTCTACAGTTTCTGACTCTGGTCACCCAATATCTCTAAGATCATGTTTTGCACTCTTCCATAGAGAGCTCCTCTGGGTCGTTTCTTATTAAATTATTGAAGTGTATGTGTGTGCAGGAAGTTATAAATCTTTGCAGCTGCATGTTTAAGTATTACAAATGTGCAGCTTCTGTTCTGTAAAAGTTTGATTTGTTGTGTTTTGCTGTAGCTATCATCCAATCCGCCCTCGGGGATCATCAAAGATTCATCCTCTCCACTTTATCTCATCCAGCTGAATTGACGTATTGATCATGCTCTCTTGTTTTGCGTTCATACAGGTCCTGTGAATGACTCCTGACGACAGAAACTTATCGACTGAAAGCTGCAGTTACACATCAACAGCTGCCGAGCAAACAGGTGATTTTAAAGCTTCACAAACCAGAGTGCATTGTGGGAGCTCAGCCGAGACGTTCTTCAGCTTCTAATTTTGATTTGGCAGGACGGAAAGCAGAGAAAGCTTCATGCTCATGTTTTCATTTGGGGGACGGCGGAGAGAGTTAGAAGAGAGGGAGGAAGGGAGAGAGAGACATGCGGGAAAGGAGCAGTTGGATTCGAACCAAGCCTCCGTACAAGAGGTGCTCGCACTAACCACTAGGGTACCAGCGCCCCACATTATCGCTATTCTGCACACAAAAAAAACCCTGAAAGATCCTGCAGAGGGCAAAGAAAACACATCTGACTCTATATGTTTCTGTTTGCTGTAATCGCACATCGGAGCAGCAGGACTGAAGAGATCGAGCCCACCAATGAACACACACACACACTGAAGCACACACACACACACGGCTGGGAGTGGGACTAAGGGGGGAGGAGATGTTGATGTTCAAACTCTCAAAAGGGTTTTGTCCCAACTGACGAGAGAGGAAGCACACGGTTAATGGGAGCATGGTGATTAACATGCAGTCAGTGTACTGTACAGAGCACGCACTAACCCGACGTCAGCGTCACACACTCAGGACACACACTCAGGACACACACTCAGGACCTCAGGACAAAACTCTCATCTTTAAATCGAGTTATGTAAGCGTCTTGATGGACGATGACGCCTCCAGCAGGAAAAAGCATCTCGGGGCCATGAGAAGAAATCAATGTGGAGTCGCGTTCGCTCATTCAGGTTGTTCAGTCACGTTAACTGCTTTTACATCCGTTTATAAAAGGCTTGTCCGAGATTTGTTGCACACTGATAATGGCTTTATTATGTTTGTGCATGCACGTGTATGTGTGTTATTCTAAGAGTTTGCTTTACTGTATACACCTCATCAAATAGATATATTTATAGGCACAGCAGAGGCCTGGTTGGAACACATTTATTGATATTTATGCTCCCAAAAAAATGATTTAAAATCCCCTTTAAGTGTCTTCATACTGATAGTATAACCTTGTTTATAGAGCAGTTGTTGTCAGACTTCAAGTAGGATTCCAAGACGTGTTTCAGTAATCTCGAATCGGTGCTGGTTGCGTCTTGGTCTAGTTTGGCGCTGCCGGACCGATTCACCAAGAGTGGACCAAATGTTTCTGCCAGAGCAAATAAAACCGGACAGCTTGCACATCTGTTTGGTTTCCCAGGCGTCTGGGGGTCTTCAATCTCACATGTTGCACTCCTTCATTCTTACTCAGTTTCCTGCTTTCAGATGGTTCAGAGTTGTATGCTACACGTATGACTCAAAAAGTCTGAGAACTACAAAACCCAAACAACCACCTCTGCATCACTGGTGTGCAGTTATGGAGAGTTACTCTATCTATCAATCTATCAGCCTTTATCCATACTGCAAAGATCAGTGAGGGGGCAACCATCATTAATAATGACATGGAGTCAAATTACAGACGACAAAGTAAGACAAATAAAAGTGTAAGAGCTTAAATACAAGTTCAGCGTCTCTTGAGAGGACCCCCCTACACACACACCTTACATATGCATCACCAGTAATCAACATCAATCAAACACTTGCAGTGTAAGGATCAACTCCATCAACAAATAAGGCCGACACGTTTGGGCTTGTGGTCGGACATAAAGTTGATCTTCACACTACAAAGTGCAGCTGGACTCATTTTAACCTCTTCAAGCCTTGCTCTCTTCATGCATCTTGTTAGTTAGTTGGTGAAGTTGCGTCAGAAAATCCCGCTCTGCTTCTTCAAACTTCTCTGAATCCAAAGGAATATTTCAGTGTGATTGAAAAAGCTTTCCAGTCTCACTGTGAACGTTATTAAGACGACACCGTGGTGATTATTGAACGGAGAAAGTCCAAGTCTAAGCAGAGCTGAGACAGAATGATGTAAAGAAACAACTATTTTACTGCAGCCCAGCTTTACAGCAGGAAACTCCAATTCCCCCAAAAATGACATCAAAACGCCGTACAAAAAACATGACAGCTTTTTACTTCAAACATTGAATATATTGTCTTTATCATTTTCAATTGACTGCACCTCAAACAGGATTACTCATTTACTGACTTTCTGTTTGACATTTCTCAAACTTTGCTTTTCATCGTTCACATCATCTTGCCCCCACCTCGGACAAAATGTCAGGGAACTCTTCACCTTACATCTTCATCTTGAAATAAATTGTGATTATTGCATCTTATAAAGGAAGCAAGAAAAATGAATATTTGTAGAAGAAGAAGCTGTGCAAACATTGGCATTTGCTCTAAACACCTGGTCAACCTGGGAAGTTTGTTTTGCACAAACTCAAACTCAGGATAGCACCTGCACATTTCCCATCATCCTCTATCTCTTGTTATGCACTCACAATAAACAAAGTCGCACACGCACACACACACACACACACACACACACACACACACACACACACACACACACACTGTCAGAGTAACACTCCTGTCCTGTCTCTTGTTTCAGACACACACACACAGCGTACCTGTCATCATCTTCAGCTGCAGCCACAGCCGGGTGATATCGTGGCAGAGTTGAGACACTCGGTTCAGAGACATCGTGCTGCCGGTACATGTATGCTCCCCTTATGCACATCTACACACACACACTTTTAAAATCACCCTCACACACAGACACACACTCTGTCAGAGCACGTCGCGGTGGAAGAAGTTCACTCTCGCTCATCCTGCACGGCCGAGGAGCTCAGCCGCTGACTGAGCTGTCACTGCACGGAGCAGCTCACACTCACACACAGAAACACACACACACACACACACACACACACACACACACCTCCCCCCAGCCTGCTTCCTATGTGTGCCAGCCAGAGAGGTGGGGTTACACAGGCTCCGCCCCCAGCTTCACATTTCACTGTTTTCACTGACAGAGAAGATGGAAAGCTCTCAAACCTGCAAAAAATACACAAAACTTTCAGCTTCTCATCAAGACTAATGTAGTTTTAATAGACTATAACCGCTCATACAGGATAATATTATCGTTCATTTCTGATGGTTTAAAGCCATCCCACTGCAGGTAATGTAACTGTAATATAATATCATCAGATACCAGCAAGTGTTAAGAGGCTGAAGACTCCAAAAAAACAACTGATTGGCTTTGACGGGGTGTGCAAAATCTTCAAGACAAATGTGAAGGCATGCAGCCGACTCTGATTCCCCTGCAGCTCTCGACATGTAAAAATGACAAAACATCCTCAAAGCAAAGCGTCCAGTAAACTGTTTCAGTGACGCATCAATGTAACGACACCCAAACAGTCTAACATGAAAAAAAAAGCCGAAATAAAAGTCTTGCAAAGTTAAGTCAACAAAAACTCATGTTGGTGCCAGAGCGAGCACAGGGCCTCTCTCTCTCTTTCTTTTTGCCGCAGCTTTTCCCACACCCTCTTACACACACACACACACACACACAAAGAGGACAGCAGGGGGACCCAGTGTGCCACACACAGACACAGCGACAAGTTGGACTGTTCGACGTGTGGAGAAAAAAGACCCTCAGGAGGTCGATTCATAAAGAGCTGCCCTGCTCTCGTTTGGTCTTTAAAAACATGTTGCCCTTTTCACTCTGAATACAGTAACTCCTCACATCCCAGACTCAGTTATCAGAGGATCTATGAGGCCAGCAATGCTTATCTCAAAGAAGCAATATACCCTGAACATGTGTTAACTGAGAGGTATCTAAACGCAGAGTCAGCAGACACAGGTTAGTCCAGGTCAGGATGTCTCATTATTCTCAGGTCATGTTGCACAGTTTGTTTTCTAATGGGTGTCTTAAAGCTGCTGGAAATCCAAATGAAGAGATGGCAGCTGCACTTTATGGACCTTTATGTCCGCTCTTGTCAAACATTTATTGAACTAAATATGGACTGAAATATCACAACGACAGGCGGTGCTGGAGGTCGAATTCACACAAAGCACTGAGATTAAGGAGGAGTAGATTAAAACCATGTACGAGTGAGATTAGGAATCGAATGTGGCTAAATTAAATGTCTAGTCTGAACAAAGATTATCACTAAATAAAGATCTGAATAGAACAATATAACAGTGTGTGTGAAGTAAACGTCAGATTAAGATGATAGAGGAGTCTCAACAGAGGGTTTTACTTTATAATGGATGATTGAAAGTCTCTGCTGATTCGTCTTCCATCGTCTCTGACAGCTCCAAACATCTGGAACAAACCGTTAAATACATTTATCTTGTTTCCTCTTTCTGATGTCAGCGCTGACGTGACACTTACACTAACCTTTAAATCACCTTTGGGTTAAAAGTACTTCATGACGTGAGGTGCATCTGTGTGTGTTTACATGGGATGCAGAGCAGACTTCAGTGTGTGTGTGTGTGTCAGGATGTAAAGGAGACCTGTTTGTATGTGTGTGTGTGTGTGTGTGTGTGTGTGTGTGTGTGTGTGTGTGTGTGTATATACGGGGGATGTGGTACAGACTGCAGCCAGGATAACTCCCGGCTGGGTTATTTATTTGAACCCCCCCCCTTGCTTCTCCTCGTCTTTGTCGGAGGAGACGAAACACTATCGACTCCTTCCGCTCCGAGATCAAACGCTATTGGTCGGCCAGAATGTAAACAGGAAGAGAGCGATTGAGAAGTGACTCGGAGGCTGAAACAGGCAGTGAGGAAGGTGTCTCATAAACTTGTACATTTATCTGTTATTCTTTTTTCTACATGACATTAAGTCATTATCTTTTTCTGTATTTATACTCAGGACAATAAGAAGTTCCAATAAAGCAATTATGATCAAACATTCTGTGCATACGCTCCAGGGGAAATTAAATCCTAAATAACACCTTTTAAACTCCTGCTTCAAACACGTGATGAAGACTCATCCCTCATCCAGGTTTCGATCGACTGAGTGCCAAGACCTTATTGACAGTCGATTATCCTGAAACCCAAATGTTGTAGTAAAGCAAATTGAACACAGCCAGGATGTTCGGGTTACATAACACACACGCACACACACGCACACACACAGCTGATAAATGTGTGTCTAAGGTGCAGACTGTCATGAAGGATCACATGCTGTTTGCGGACCCCAGCCTTGAAGAGTAACAGTCTGCTGATTTCAGAGAAACCCTTTTTATGATGTTTAAAGCCTGAAACTCTGTGTACAAAAGAGCAGATATTCAGCTGACAAAGATCTGAATGGACTTTGGATTTGAATCACACATACCCAGCTGCTCATATAAACTCAGTAACCCTCCTCAAACTGATAAACTGATTCAACTCTTGATTCTTCAACTGTGGCAACTTATTGCTCTCAAAAAAAAAAAAACTCTCACTGGACTCAGTTACATGAAACCAATGTGCAGACCATCGCAAAATGAGAAGGAAAAAAAAAAAACGCCCCGAAACTGACTTCTGGGGAAGTGAGAGTTAAAGGGATGACGACAAACGACTCATGTGTCTGGGTCATTCGCACCAACAACTAAGCGCGGGCATTTTTTACCATTACCACCGCAGGTCATAAGATCTTCAACAAATGATGAGTGTGATATTATAAGACAACAAACTGTTAAAATGATGGGAAATACATCATGAGAATCATAAGAACAAAAGAGGAAGTTTTGCCAAGAGGGAGGAAGACATCATCTGCCATGATGGGTCATTTTTAAAGGGAAAGACCAGAGGAAGTTCACCGCCGCACATGACCACTGCAAAAAACAATTAATGACTGCAAGAACACATGACTGAAAGGAGCTGAATATGTAACTACGGTAAGTCCGGTAGAGTTTAAAACGGGTACTGAAGTCAGATTCTAAACATCATAGAGATCTGTCTCCCCCCCCTCTCTAGAGTCGATGCTCACTCAGGTCACCATGTGGTGGACTCTGAAGCTTCAGTGTTTATCCAGCTCTGCATGGGTCTGTAAACCTTTCTGTGTTCTAACCTCTCTCCATTTTTCAAAAGCATCTCCAATATTGATCCTAGTTTGAGCACGTTTCTGCTCGTGGAGCTTATTAGAAACATGCAGAGGCTTTTTAGGTCGGGTACAATCACTTCTATCTGAACCACTTCTCTTGACCGCTTCCATCGCTGCAACACCTGTTGACCTGATAACTGCTCTCATATCTGACAAACCGAGGGGCGTCCAAAACGGCCGTGTGGGGGGGTGTCCTTAAAACCGTCTACCTTCTCTGGTCCAAACAAATCCAGAGCATTCAGGAGCAGAATGTAAAGTTAGAAGGAGGACATACTGGCTGCTGCATTGTTGTCAGAGAAGCCAACAATGTGACTTTAATGTAACTCTGCACGTTTACAGCATTAATAATCTATTAAAAATAAGGAGGAAAGTTAGTCCCAGCAGCAGAATCGCTGCTCCTGCCTTCATGACACAGCCTTTCTAGAATAGCACTGTCTAAAAATAAACACGTCATCGCTAAATAAAGACCAAAGCCTGCAGGAAACGGACCAGAATAGACCTGAACCGTCTCTGAGAGGCACCGAGATCTGACAAATCACCGAGCGCACACACCCTGCACGGAGGATTCAGACACATGTGAGTGTGCACGATCAATGCAAATAGTCTTTTAAATAATGCCCACACACACACACACACACACACTCCTTCTGCTGTCACACAAGCACACATGCTGCTGGATAATTACACCACTTTTGATTGAACCACCCTGAGTAAACAAGGATGTAAGAGTTAATCATACGAGTTCCATGTGTTCTCAGGAGATATTACCACAGGAGGAAATTATGTTTATGATTACCAGTTAGAATCAAATGTTCAGCTATAACCAAAAAGGACATGCATCAAACAGCACCTTAGTTTGGTTTCCTTTTACAGCAGCTAAACAAACAGCTTGAAAAGTAGTCCAAACTGAACCTGGTGTTGAAACTACTCGAATTCAAACTAAAAGTTTGGAAGCACAAAATGATTTAAGTTTCATTTAAGCTGCTCTGGCCCTCACTGTCCAAAGTAGTGTGCAGTAAATGATGTTTTTACTTCCTGTTTACATGAATATCTTGTGTCTGGAACACTGCTGCTAATCCATGCTTATGGGGGTGTTTACCAGGATCAACCAGTTGACATTGTTTAAGTGTCAGGGAGAAAGTGTGCCAGCTCTTCTTCTCGTCTTTGCAGCTGTGTTTTAAAACTATGATGATGTGACTTTGAGCTCCCTGCAGATAGACTGAAATGTGACATCAGATTGACCGCTGCACTGTCAAGCACACATCTTGAATTAAACTAGAAGGAGGAGAAATGTCGTCTCCAATAAAACTTGGTACTTTGCGATTTGATTATCACCCCTTATAAAGAGCAGAAAGGCTGGATTCATGCTGGAGAACATGATGTAGCTGAGTTTATCTACACGCTTGTTACCCTGCTGACTCGTCTGCATGCACATGAACTCCAAGTTCTCTCTACTTCAGTCTCAATTTGACGACAGTTTCTTCTTTGTTGTTCCATCTTGTCTCACTGAATGCTTTCTTTATGACATCAGAGAGGCTGTGTTAAGCAAACAGGGATTGATTCTTTCTCAGTCTAGTTTAAGAGTTGTTGCTGCAAATGACACAAGTGGTTACATTAGAATTTTCTAACAGTCATAATAAATGATTCTTTTAAAACACATGATGCTAATGCCCACACTGATATATCACTTCTTGTTTCTTCCTCTCAAGTTTACACCAAACTGTAAGAAAGGGCGTTCAAGAATGCTGCATCGTCTTCGTTTTATCAGCTGCTTGACAAGTTCTGAGG